TTTCATTGATGTATGAATATAGTGACCAAGACAATAATGTCACAATATGTCTGTGTTACCGAGGAAAGAAATTGTCTCAACTTTCCCCCTTCATTTGCATGGAGAATAGCTTCTGTAGCTGATGAACAGTGTTCAGAGAAGGAAGGAAACATTGTCTTCAGGGAAGTCGCATGTTTGGAATGGCCTCTTTGAACTGATCCTTTCGTGGCGATCTTATGTTCACGCAAACAACGTAAGGTTGTAAATGCTATTGATTTTAAATTTGAAGACTTAAAAAAAAATAGTTTGAGAACATACAAACAAAATAAAGCAGGAATCTTAAAATCTAACCCTTTATCTTGTAGATCGCAAAGGCGTTGTACATTATTGTAAACTCAAGGACACTCCTATAGCCTGAGACAGAAGCTTTACTTTTATAGCCTGAACACTGCAGTTAATATTTATTTTATGATGCCCTGGGGTCACATTCAGTGAAAATAGAGGAATGCTTTAAGCCACTTAACTGAGCTTGAAGATACTACATACAGTCTTTTTTGTGTAACATGCAGTATTGCTTGTCCTGTACCTGACTTCACCAGCAGAAGACTAACCTGTCGGGGGAGACTATTTGGCAGGACTAAAATATGATTGATGGAAACACATAGCGAAAGGAACTTGTATATACAGAGGATTTATTGAGTTTATAGAACTGTAGAATGTTTACAACACAAAAAGGGGTCATTCGGCCCTTTGTGTCAATGTTGGTGCTAGCTCCCTGCGGGATGTATCTGGAGTTAGCAGGCGAAACAGAGATCTGTGATCATCAGTCAAGTCATCACTTTCTCATAAACCAACCTCTACTTTCTTTACTGTATATGGTATTTTAAACATTTATTATATTTTATCACCATTTTGGGGCACCCTTCAAGTTCACGTGTGGAATGATACGTGTGTGATTCTTATTTGCATCAATCTTGTGACATGGGGAAGTTGGTTGCGCTATCATACAATAATAATAATAATCAACGCATTTGATATAGCGCCTTATCATGTCTTCAAGATGTCTCAAAGTGCTTCACAGAATATATTGTAAAGTGAACTGACTATTTTGTGGGCGAAAGGTGGCAGCCAATTGTACACAGCAGTGTCCCACAAACAGTTATGGATTGAGTGACCAATTCATTATTATTATTTTTGGAAGAAATTATTACCCCCAGAAAAGCGATCCACCAATCGACTAACAACCGGGTTCCTACTTACTGCTAGGTAAATGAAGTAAAGAAACTTGCCCAATGTTTCACCCTGCCTGGATTCGAACCCAGGTCTCTTGCTTGTGAGGGGAGTTCTCGAATCACGGAGCTGCAGGGCTTCACTGCATCACAAAAGAGATTTCGAATCTAACAGTCATGACTGAGAGGTGTGAATTCCTGACCTTAAACTTCTAGTCTGCAGCTGACGTATGTTGTACGTGTTATTTTTAGAATCTCAGCAGACAAAGAAATGTCTTTTTTTTATTACTTTATTTTGTATGTGGTTGCTTCAATATCTGCCTTGTTTAGTTTTTCTGCAGTTGGTTTATTCTGATTAATCTTGCTTAGAAACTAAACTATTATAAGCAAAACAACTTGTTTTACTTCACTAATCTTTTTAAAGGCGGCTCCTCTTCCAAATGAGCCTTAACTAGCTAACTGAAATCACTCACAGAGTGCATCGAGATTATTGATTGAGAGTGAATGTATAAATCTAACCCAAACTTCAAAACTAAATAATTAATGTACATTAAACATTGATTGAAATAAGCAGCCAGATTGACTCCATATTACTTGTGGAAAAAAGGATCAGCTGTGCTTTTAAAAATTCCTGCAAGGGATGTGTTTCCTTGACAACCGTTGTCATTTCCCTTATTTTCAGAATATCACTGGAGTGTAAAGAAATAGGGGCTTGGGTGAGAAATACAGTGAAGCATTATACATTGAACGGCTTCCTGTGTGGCTGTTTTTGTATTAGGTGATAGCCTTTTAACAAGTTTCCTTACTATTAATATAGTCCTGAAGCGACAGCTAGCTTCTACAATCAAATTAAATATAATTTCGGTGCTTGTAGTTTAATTATCTCCCTTTTTATTTTGGCACCTAAACTCCTGTTTGCTTTCGTCACTCAGTTGGTTCACTCTTACCCTCACACAAATTCAGTGCCCTAAGCTTTCATCCAAGATTCAGCACAAACCCAGCAATGAAGAGAGAAACCTTTGACTGGCAGGATTATTCTAGGACGTAGGGAGGGGGAGCAAGGGATATGAAGCAGGTTTGAATTATCGAAACGGGAGTAAAACATTAGGAGAATATAGGAATTGTGTGAGACAAGGGCATTGAAGCATTTGAAGGTCAGAATTTAGCAATTGCACACACTGTATCCCCTGTCATTGAACACATTGCTTCTCCATTCCAGGTCTTTCTACACAGTCACCATATGTTACATTACAGACTGCCACACCACCTAAAGTTAATTAAAACCACTGTTATCTCTCCTCATTGTCAATTTACTATGCATTATGGTCATACTCAACATCTAATTGAGTTTTCTGCTGATGAGGTACAATTGAGAATCAGCAACCAGCAGATGGCACAAAGGAGCGACAAAGGATCAATGTAAGAGAAGATTCAGTAAATCATGAGTTAGTTTTAATTCCTTCATTTTACCCTTTCTGTTCATATCGGAACTGCAACGAACAACTCTCAACTGAACAGTTGCAATTTACCCTTTGCTGCATTATGGGCAATGAATAAAACATTGCTTCTGAGCAAGGTAGAAACACTCGAGCAGAAAAACATCCCACTGAACATGGTGCAACTTTTCTTACAGAGGCAAACTACTCAAATTTGGGAAAAGAGTCTTGAAGGGCAATTAATGGAGGAGGAGAGGGTCAAAAAAGATATTGAGGTTCCACACCAGGTTCATGGAGTGGAGTGAGCATCCATGGAGGTCAATGCAATCAGCACCTGACCAAGGAAGAGGTCCCAGGTTCAGGGTAGCAGAGTACAGTTTTGGCACAGACACCAAGAAGTATTTCTTCAGACAGGTGGTAAACAACAGTTAGAACTAGTTACTGGGAGGCTGGTTAAGGCCAGGACACTGGACTCGATTAAGAAACAGCTTGTTGCTGTCCTAGGATGTTGATAGGGTGTATTTTACAGAAGGAGATCAGGGCCTTCTTCATTCTTTTGTGAATGGAAGCTTACAAGGCTTGATTACGGATTACTTTCACATCAAGGCTCGATTACAGAAACTCCCGCCTTATCGGCCTTCCCAACTCTTCCCTTCACAGGCTGCAGATCATCCAAAACTCTGCAGCTTGTGTACTCTCACGCACCAGGCTCCATGACCCCATCACTCCCACACTCGCCTGACTCCACTGGCTCCCCATCTCCCAGAGGATCGTTCAAGATCCTCATCCTCACTTTCAAGGCCATCCATGGCCTTGCCCCCTCCTACCTTTCTGACCTGCTGCCTCCCTATCAACCTGCCCACTCCCTCCGTTCATCGGGCTCTGGTCTCCTCCATGTCTCCTACCCAACCTGCCCTACCTTCGGTGGCCGGGATTTCAGCCTCTCTGCCCCCACACTCTGGAACTCCATCCCATGGTCCCTTCACCTCGCTTCCTCCCTTGCCTTCTTCAAGACCCTTCTCTTCGATCGTGCCTTTGGTCGCCCTCCCACCTCTGTCTTCCCTCACCCCTACACCACTCCTCCCCCATGCTTGGGCCCCGACATCTGACTATTCAGTGCTTTGGGACGTCCTCCCGACATGAAAGGCGCTCTATAAATCTAATTTTGTTGTTGTCCAAACGCCTGCACATCACTTCCAGAGAATTGCTAATAACTGGCCCTTAATTGAAACAATTAACGGAAGTAAAATAAGGATTTATAAGTTAGCATACTTTTCCAACATGCAAACCAGATTCATTAGCAACTGGGTTAAAATAATTAAACAGCAACTGAAATCAATTGCAATTTGTCAGTATTCATCTCACCAGGTGATCCAAATGTACACAGTCCCAGATGGGAAATACTGCCAGTGAGTAGTTACTGTAGCAGAATCAGACTCTTAACATCAGGCTAATTCTGCAGCTGCTGCGTCAGGCTTCAGCTCTACTTCAGTGTGTTGACAGCCGGTGGGGAGGGGAGGGAAGTCAAATACCTGCTCTATGGACTTTACTAAGATAGATTGTGAGTCACTGCTTTTGTGTTGAGCAGCGGGAAGTAGTTCAGAAAAATTAGTTTCAATACAATATTAATAATAATAATACTAATCCTTGCATTTGATATAGAGCCTTATCACATCTTCTAGATGTCCCAAAACGCTTCACAGAATATACTGTAAAGTGAATTGACTGCATATTTTGTGGGCCAAATGCGGCAGCCAATTGCGCACACCAGTGTCCCACAAACAGTCGTGGATTAAAGTGACCAATTCATTTTTTTTAAGGAATAATTACCCCTGGAAAAGCGATCCGCCAATCGACTAACAACTAGGTTCCCAGTTACTGCTAGGTAAACAGAGGCGTGTTGAGTAAGGAAACTTGCCCAACATTTGGGCCTGCTGGGAATCAAACCTAGGTCTTTCGCTTGTGAGGCGAGTGTTCTAACCATTGAGCTACAGGACTCCATGATTTAGCGCCTTTCACATCAGGAGAATGTCCCAAGGCCTGGGAGCAGCAGGAAGCAGTACAGAAAAATTAGTTATAATGCAATATTGTATTTATATATCAAATGCAAGGATTATTATTATATAGCACCTTTTTCATCAGGAGGATATCCCTATGCACCTAAAACACTTATGGTACGCTCTGAAGATGGGCGAGGAAGGGGGCAAGGCCAGAATCATAGTTTAGGTGACACCGATCTTAAGTACAATGATCCGTGAAATTGCCTTTCCTTGGTTTAAAAGAATACCAATAGAGATGTGCCTTTGGTGCTGTCACTGTTTAAGTGTTTTTCGGTGCTTTTTCTTAAATAAAACAGATGGACGAGATCAAGAGCAAAGACCGAGTGATTCTTGCCCTGGAGAAGGAGCTTGGTGTTCAAGCCGGCCACACGCAGAAGCTGCTGCTACAGAAGGAAGCCCTGGATGAACAGCTGGTGCAGGTGAAAGAAGCTGAACGTCACCACAGTAGCCCCAAGCGGGAGTTTCCAAGTAGCAGCGCGGACACATCGGACCTGACAGGGAGCCAAGTAAGGACAGGATAACAGACGGAAGTAACTGATAACTCCTTCTAAAGTCTCAGTTTATATATATCAACCGATTTCATATTTCTGTATTATGTTATTGTAACGAGAGAACGTCGTTTGTGTTGAAACAAAACCACAGAGATGTTCAACACTGTAGCAGGCTAATTGGCCCATTATTTCAGGTTAGTATTTGCTTCTCCGAGAACCCATCCAGCCTTACGCCAATGCCCAGCTCTTTCCCCGTACCCTCTAATACTCTTCCTCGGTACGTGTCCAGTTTTATTTTTCAAATGACTATAAGGTTGGTTGTATAGTTTTCGGAGGTTTGGTAACCTGGTAATTCCTTGGATCTAATGTCTCTTCCCTTCAACATAGAATCCATTCTATACTGAGCCATTCAACTAATCGTGCCTGTGTCAGTTCTTTGGTTACCCAACTAGTCCCGATTGCCCCACTCGTTCCTCATATCCTTGCAAATTTTTCCTCTTCAAGTACCTATCCAATTCCCTTTTGAAAGTTGTTATTGAATATTTTCCACCACCCTTTGAGGCAATGCATTTCAGACTGTAACAACTCGCTGTGTAAAAACAATTCTCCTCATCTCCCTCTGGTTCTTTTGCCAATTATCTTGAATCTATGTGCCCTGGTTACTGACCCACCTACCAGTGGAAACAGTTGCTTCCTACCTACTCTATCAAAACCCCTCATAATTTTGAACAGCTCTATTAAATCTCCCCTTAACCTTCTCTGCTGTAAGGAGAAAAAATCCCAGCTTCTCTGGTCTCTCCCCCTAACTAAAGTCCCGTATCCCTGGTACCATTCTGGTAAATCTCCTCAGCACACTCTCAGAGACCCTGATATCCTTCCTAAAGTATGGTGCCCAGAATTGGGCACAATACTCCAGCTGAGGGCTAGACAGTGACTTATAAAGGTTTAGCAGAACTTCCTTGCTTTTGTAGTCTATGCCTCTATTTATAAAGCCAAGGATCCCGTATGCGTTTTTGACAGTTCTATCAAAATGTCCTGCCACCTTCAAAGACCTGTGTATATGAATCCCCAGGTATCTCTGCTCCCATAGTCCCTTTAAAACAGTTCCATTTATTGCATATTGCCTCTCGTTCTTCCTTGCAAATTGCATCACCTCATACTTCTCTGCATTAAACTTCATCTGCCATGTGTCTGCCCATTTCACCATTCTGTCTATGTCTTCCTGCAGTCTGCTACCATCCTCCTCACTATTTATGACGTTCCCAAGTTTGTGTCATCTGCAACATTTAAAATTTTGCTCTCTTTACCCAAATCTAAGTCATTCACATATATCAAAAAGAGCAGTGGACCTAATACCAACCCCTGGTGGATACCATTGTATACTTCTCTCCAATTTGAAAAGCAACCATTCACCACTACCCTCTGCTTTCTGTCTCCCAGCCAATTTTATAACCATGCTGCCCTGTCCGTTTTATCCCATGGGCTTCAATTTTGCTAACTAGTCTATTATGTCCATATACTCTAAATCAACTGCACTACCTTCATCAATACACTCTGTTATATCATCAACAAATTCAATTAAGTTTGTCAGACATGATTTGCCTATAACAAATGCATGTTGACTCTCATAAATTAACTTATGTTCTAAGTGAAAATTTATGTTGTCCCGGATTATGGTCTCTGGAAGTTTCCCCACCAGTTTGTGAACTAATGAAGATTACAAACGTGGAGTCCTATAGCTCAGTGGTTAGAGCACTCGCTTTGCAAGCGAGAGACCTGAGTTCAATTCCAGGCAGGTCGAAACCTTGGGCAAGTTTCCTTACTCCACACGACTAATAATAATCCCTCCAAAACAAAAAACAATAAATTAGTCATTTTCAATCTACGACTGTTTGTGGGACATTGCTGTGCGCAATTGGCTTCCGCGTTCATCCACAAATATACAGTCAATTCACTTTACAGTCTATTCTGTGAAGCGCTTTGGAACGTCCTCCCGACGTGAAAAGCGCTATATCAAATGCAAGGATTATTATTATTATTATTACAATTCGGTTGTGGTTCAACCTTTGAAACGGAAGCAATCCAACTTTTTTCCCTCTCTTCAATTCTTACTTAAGTATTTTTATACCAAGGCTTTTTTTTTGCTATGGTGGAAAACCAGTGATTTGGGAGTTGCTGAACTTTTACAAACAATTGCATATCGACCTGTCTGCTCCCTCTGCTCAGCAGGCTGCTCCACGTCTCCCAACTGGTCTGCCCATCAGTGGCAGTCGAGCCTTCAGGCTCTCTGTCTCCACCCTTTGGAACTCCATCCCACAGTCCCTTCGCCTTAAGATATTCAAGAGCAATGTTTTGACAATCTGGATTGGGTTTGTAGATGAACCTTGTGAATTACAGGATCTACAAGATTTAAGATGGAAACAAACGTGGTGCAGTAATAATCTTGCTTCCGATTAATTTGACATGTTATTAAAGTTATAAATGTGCTGCTGGCATCCAGGGAGAGAATATCAGCTCTGCACCATCTTTCACAATTTATTCAAGAAGGTCCAGCTTTTGGTTTTAAGCAAGTTCTCAGAATATTAATGTGCATTTTTTTAATCTTCAAGGTTTCTACATTATTTTCAAATACAGTATGTTGTATTATTTACAGATTAAACCAATAAAGGAGGTGTATTCCTTAAAGGGGAACTTTAGTGTCAGGGTAAGTACAGTACAGTAATTGATGTGTACTTACCTTTACATTAGTGATTTAGTGTCCAGGGTTAAGTGGAATGAATAACCTGTACTTACCTCACATCAGACCCCCAGTGCTGGGGTAACTACAGGGGATGATCATTACTTACCCTTATTAGCACTGTAGTGTATATGGCAAGTACAATGAATGATATATAATAACCTCTATATCAATCCTATTGTTTTGTTTTTAAATCGATTTCTAATTTGCAGGGCTGCTGTATAGAGCATTTTAGTGGAATGGGTGAGCTGTGATGTATGGCAAGAAGACATTTATAGAACCATAGAAATTCATAGCACAGAAGAAGGCAATTCGGGCCATCGTGTCCATGCCAGCTCTTTTAAGCACAATCCTACTGACTTAAGGGTGATCACCCAATCATTTCTTGGGTTGGATGCATTGATGCCGTTGGGTGCTAACTTAATTCAGTTCCCTGTAATGTCTGTTTTATTATTAAAACAATCAAAGTGGGGGATTATCTGAATGAACATGTGTTTTTATGTAGGTTTGGGTATGTCCATGGCTTGTTTCTCTTTAACATTGCTGGTTTTGTTTCGTCCACGTAAATCTCCTTTAGGAAACGCAAATGGATGAAAGGGATGTCCGTCGGTTCCAGTTGAAAATTGCTGAACTGAACGGTGTGATACGCAAGTTGGAAGACAGGAACACGCTATTAGCGGATGAAAGAAATGAACTGGTAAAGTGGCCCTGACTTGAATTACATTCACTTTAGTAAATGAATCAGTCCTGTTGCAGTGCGAAATCCGTCAAACTCTTTTCTGTACTGCAAGGGAAAATACTCTGCCCTCAGAGGTCGGAAATTAGTTTATTTTAAAACAATATAATTGTAAATGGTGGCCATTCTAATTAAATGTGACCCGTGGAAAGCCTTCTGATAGACTACAGACGCTCTTAAATTATTGTTCCAGGTGAAACGTGTGCGAGAGACGGAGAGCCAGCTGAAGCCTCTGGTGGAAAAGAACAAGCGCCTAAATAAGAAGAATGATGATGTGATGCAGTCTATACAGAGGATGGAACAAAAAATAAAGAATCTCACAAGAGAGCATGCGGAAATGGTACAGCATGCAATACTCTGCCCTCCTGGTTAAGCTAGCTATAGCAAGTTAGTCTGTATGTGGGTATGGGTTCATAAATGGGTTGCGTTAGTTCTAATAGGTTTCTGATGGACTATAATTATGAACATAGAAATTACATAGAAATGTACAGGACAGAAAAAGGACATTTAGGCCCATCATTATCGGTGCTAACTCTTTTAAGAGCAATCCTTTCAATCTTTTTCACCTGCCCCTTACCTCTGATGGATCCAAATCCCTGACTGTCCAGCATCTTTGGACGTTCTCCTGACATGAAAGGCGCTATACAAATGTAATTTTGTATTTGTATTGTAGTGTAGTAAACATTGGGAGTTGTATAATTCCTAAGCACTTTTGAATACACAAAATAGAGCAATGTTAGCACTAGTACTTTGAGATGTTCTAGACACTATAGGTGCTATATCAAATGCAAGCATTTTAGTTAGTTCATGGACTTTCTCTTATATGTTTTTTGCTCAGCTTCAAGTATAACTGATCTTTTTTCTGGAGTTGCTTAAAATAGCAGGATCTTAAATGCGGTGGTTTATTTTGGCAGAAGGAAAAATTAGCTTCACAAAGCCATTTGAGAAGACACACATCCCTGAATGATCTGAGCCAAACGCAAGATGAGCAAGAAATTGAGTTTTTGAGACTACAGGTTGTTGAACAACAGCATATCATTGATGATTTAACAATGGTGAGCTATTTTGCACTCTTGTGGTATGAAGCTTGTCTTTGATGGTAACAATAGCTGTGAAAGTACCTGGAGTCCTAATAATTGGTTCCTCAAATACTCTGTAGGATCACCACATATTTCAAAAAGCTGCAGGACCAAAAACACAGGTTCGGCATTGTGAAGTTTAAGACAGGTGCCAGACAGTGGGGTTAAGTTGTAGAATTCCTGAATTATTCCTCTACTTTTCTGAGGATCATGATTTTAATAAATCCAACATGTTACTAACCGCTCCGCAGATAAATAGTTTACACAACTCAGGGTCTGAGCGCTGCTGTAATCATGAACCCATTTTGTAATTTCTAGGCCATATGTTGGACTTTTTTTCTGATGTTAATTCCTATTTTATTTGCCTAGGAAGGCTGAAATTCCCACCCTCTTATATTTTTACCAATTTTACTGGAGGGCCAAGCCCATATGATTAAGCATGGGATCACCTGCTGGTGTTGCTAAACACATTCCTCTATCAAACAAAAGTTAAGGAATCCAGCAAATTTTACCCCAGTATCTTTTGTATGCAGAGATTAATCATTAGCTGGAGCAGGTTGCCAGGGAGGAGGGCTGAGAACCAGATGCTGGTTTCATTTAAGAAACAATGCTGGGAAATGAGTGGACGGGAGAATGGGTTGTTCTGGAGAACAGAATCAGCTTATCTGAAGGCTTGACTCTCTTCCCCTTCACATCCAGGTAATTTAATGGGTAAAGTTTAGCTACGTACACAATCATCACCCTTGACAAAAAAAAACTGCGTGAAGCACTTTCAGATGTTTCAATGTGATAAGGTGCTATATCAAATGCAAGGATTATTATTATTATATTACCATTATTATGGCCGGGTTGGTTTTGCACAATCTGGAAAAAGCAGGATTGATGACTAAGTGACTTTTTCTTGTTTCGGCTTCTTAAAAGTTATGCATTGACTTGTTAGAGAAGAAATAAAGAATGTTCTGTTCTTTCTCTTGTAGGAGCGAGAGAGAATGTTGCGCTCTAAAAAGCACAGAAGGAGAAGCACAAAGCCCCATAAGGTAAGGTGACAAATGTGCAGCAATCCTGAGTTGAGTTGCAGCTTTTGGGAAATCGAGGCCTGTTAGTTTTGTTTACGAAGGAAAATGCAATGAACTGGAGCTATACCTTTTGGCTCGTAAAAATTGAGCAACTGTTTTGTTCCTAAATAATATTAAAAAAAACTTTCAAGCCAGCATATTTCAGACCATGTAGTTCAAGATGTTGGTGCAGAATTTGTATTATTTTATAGTATCCTAATGCGATATAGAGTAGAACTCTGTTATAATGTTTTTCGTTATAATGCGGGTATGCTTATACCTATTTGGGTTGGGGTCCCTGACATTTAGTTATCAAAATATCCCCACAATATTGTGCAGAAAACAGTCCAGCTCGCCTCAAATCAAGTTGTCTTACTTCCAAATACCAGCCAGCTTCACACCGCTAAAAAGGTCTGGGTCGTCAGGTCACCTCTGACGCCATTTCCGGTGTTTTGTGTGCACCCCGTGTTCTATGTCTAACAAGTCTCTCCTGATTTGTGAAGAGATGTCAGCTGCACTTCTTGTACATGTGCGCAGTCGGCAGTGACCTGACAATCTGGAAGGTGGTCAGCCATTTCAAAGCCAGACAGGGTGTGCCAGAAATGAACTGCTTCAGACCAGGACAAAAAGCAGCCGTACGCTCTAGCAAGGGTTGCCTTGTACTTGGTACGTGTGATCTTTATAATGCATCCACTGACTCTCCGTGACAACTGTGGCCTGTGTGGCAAAATGAAAATAGAAATAATTGAAACAAAAACAGAAGTCGCTGAGAACACTCAGCACGTTTGCTGAGGGTTCCCAGCGACTTCTGCTTTTGTTTCAGATTTCCAGCATCTGCAGAGTTTTGCGTTTTAGATAGAAATAATTAATTCTTCTTGATGAGTACTCCTAATTCTTTATACAGAGTACTGTAACATTTTGCAAACTTAATTCATTACATTTCTAATGAAACAATCAAAGCAAGAAAGACTTGGGGGTTTGTGTGTGATTGGGTTTGCATTTGATACCAGATTTTCATTTGTGAGTGCAGTGCTAACAGTAACAGACATGGTGCAAACTCAAGGTTATGCTTCAATGGAAATATGTTCTTTGGTGAACTGTAATTTGCAGCAGGTTCAATACATTGGTATACTGATTAGATAGTTCTCATTCTGCTGGATTTATTGTTTGCTGAGCTTTAAATGAGAGCTGTGCATGGACTTGCAAGTCTCAAAGTGAGCAAACCTAAGATCAGAAACTCTGCAACCTACTTCCAGATAGTTTCAGGCCAGTGTGAAGAGTTTCTGATTTTTCAACAGGAGTCTCCATTAGCAATTTTTCAACCCCACAATATCTTTATCAATGTCGTTTTTTTGCAGGTTGAAGCCATTAAAGCCTCAGAGCTTGTGATAACTGCATTAGATATGTACCTTATGTTGGTTCCTACAGTGTGTTAGATAAATGGTGTCTTGCCAGGACTGGGATTTATATAGTATGTTAATGCAATCATAAATTGTAAATGTTTATGGTACAGCTAGTACTAAGATGAAGATCTTTCTGAAGGGCTTGATCTGCAGGAGTGAGCAGTGATCAACCTCTAGCCATTGCCTCAGATCAGCTCGATAACTGTGCTGGAGAGTTAACAGGGGCTTAGTTGGGTTATCAATCTGTCTGTGTGCGAGAGGCATAGGAGCAATCCATCAATCCTTATCGTGTGTGTGTCAGATAATCTCCGCTATAATTGAAGTGTTTGTTGTTTGCGTATGCAGTTTTCGATTTTCCAACGTTTCTAAGTTTTGTTTTATTTCAGGATTTTTTTTTAAGTCACTGTGGTGCTCAACCTCCACTGCAAAATGTTTGCTTCTTCACACCGGCTTGCTATTTTAAGCCTTGCTAGCGTGGTGCATGGAGTGATGTGTGTACAGAGAAGCAAATACTGAGTTATATATATCCTAACCCTTTGCTATTTTAAGGTCTAACATGGTCTGAATTGCTTGAACTAATCCACTTCAATTTAGTTTTATTGCCATCTTACTGCATGTTAGCCAAAGGCTGTACTGATTAATTATGCATGTTGCAAGAAATATAACCACACAGCTTAAAGATACCCAGCTTTTAAAGCTTTTCCATTTAAAATACGCAGAAACAAAATTCATAGCTGTGGGAAAATAGTAGTTGTTCCATGTGAAATCGAGTGCCAGTCCACTCCTCTTACAACTGGGCATCGGGGAGAAATAAACCTGTCTCTTTACATGCTGATCATCCTACTGTGCATTTTAAATGGTTTTATTTCATATTTTCAGTTCTAATTGAGAGGTGTGGGTTCCCTCAAATGCAACTTGTTTATGTAGTATCTTGATACCACCACTAGAGGGAGAGACCATTCATACAACTGATCATCAACAACCAGTGAGATGGATTCCTCACTTTCAGCGACTATACTTTTTAGGTATTCCAGGAATTGTTTTGGATTTTTACAAATTAAAACTACATGAGGAGGTGGAGAAGATGATTTTGTTTCCATCACCATGGGGGAAGCGAAGGAATACGGTTCAACTAGATTTTAGAACTATTGAACAGATGTCCTTGGAGTTGTCTGTTCCTTGGGGCATTAATTGGCTTTTCATCCTTTCAATCACATTCACGGTGGATGTACAATTGTAAAAAGAAGTTCAAATCCATCATCCTGTCTGAAATAACACGTGATGTGGGAAAGATGAATAGACTTTTTTTTGATAATTCACAGGTATTTGATTTTCTTGTTCTTTCTCCCCCCATTTCCATGGAGCAGTTGAGTTCTTGGTCAGAGGGAGGAAGCACAAAATCCCAAGAGCTGTTTCTGAAGGGCTACATGTGGAGCTCTTTGCACCCATCCAATAATAATAATAATAATCCTTGCAATTGATATATCGCTTTTCACGTCTTCTAGACGTCTCAAAGTGCTTCACAGAGTATACTGTAAAGTGAATTGACGGTATATTTGTGGATGTGTGATTAATGCACATTGCTCTCCTCAGTGCTTACATAGATTTACACAGAACGTACAGCACGGAAACATGCCATTCGATCAACCAGTCTGTGCCTGTGTTTATACTCCACACAAGTCTCCACCCACTCCTTTCTCCCTCCGATACCCTTCTATTCCCTATTAGCTTGTGTGTATATCTAGCTTCATTTTAAAAGCATCTATACTATTTGCTGCAACCACCACTTTGGGCAGTGAGTTCCACAATCTCACTACCTTCTGCTTGAAGAAGTTCCTGTTAAATTCTCTTTTAGTTCCGTTGTTTTATACTTGTGGCCTCTGATTATGGCCCCCCCAATAAGTGGGAACAGCCTATTAATGCTAACCTAATGAACCCCTTTTAAGTTTTAAATATCTCTATTTGGTTCCCTTTTATACATCTCTTCTCTAGTGAAAAAAAGCCTAATCTATCCAGTTTATCCTGATAGGAAGAACTGTCAGTCCTGGTATCATCCTGATAAGTGCTCTGAGATGCTTCTCTGCATGAAGGGTGCTATATAAATGTAAGTTGTTGTTGTAAATCTATGCTATACTATCCCTATCGCTGCTATATCCTGTGCAGAAGGTGAATGCTCAGAGGCCAGAATGTGAACAAAATATAAATACCCGCAGATGCAGGAACATGCACTTTTCCAGATTTACTTTTCTATGACTTCTGGTGGGAATTATTCACAAGTGAAATGTAGGGTATCAATAATATGAAAATGAGTATAGAAATAGAGAATGGACTCCCCCTCAGGAGTGATCAAAATATTATTGATTTGTTTGTTTGCGTAGAAAATACACAGTCACTTTATTTTATAGTGTGGTCAGCCTGGCTCAGTTGGTAGCACACTCACCTCAATTAGAAGGTTGGGGTTCAAGCCCCACATTGGGACTTGGACTCATATAGTCTAAGATGGCACTCCAGTGCAGTGTTGTGCAGTGATCCTGTTCATTGTGAGTGTGGTAGGCAGCCGCTCCCTTCCCAATGCCTGTGTTTTTTGCGTGCTGAAAATGGCTAATTTCCAGGTCATTAGGTTGCCATGGCCATCACTTCCTACTTTGTACATATGCAACAAAGAGGAAGTGACATTGCAGTGACCCAATGACCTGAAAGTAGGCCATTGTTTCTTTACTGCTGGAACTGCCCAAAACGCTCCCTTTACATGCACGTACAGTCAAACCCTTTATCACTCCTCGTGATATTGTGGGTTGGAATACAGCTGCACCGTAGATAAAGATGTGTCTTATAGGGCTTACGTGTCACTTTAGTGAGTAGAAAATCAGTCCTCATTTGGAAGCTGAACTGCCTCCAAGGTGACGTGCTTGACAATAAAAAAATCAGAATCGAGCCAGCCCTCTGTGGTGGTCTTGGTAGCCCAGTTCCTGAGCCAGGTGGGTCAGCAGTTTTCCAGGGCTCTGCTGATGGCAGCCTGGCTCATTGGTAGCATCTGGAAAGGCAGACCAGTCACTGGGGGCAAGGAATCATCTCACTCAGATCCTTTTAACCCAGCAAGCCAAAGCCCTTATGGGTAGGGTGGTCCCAGCTGGACAAACAATGGGAAAGCTTGCCATACAGTGATATTAATGGCAAGCCTGCCAGACAGTTTTATAATTAGGAAGCTATGTGGTTTTAGCTGGTCAGACTCTAGCAATATCCCAACGTATACTCTGGTGCCCCCAGGTCTTGGCTCTTGCCAAACTGTGCCAAATACTTTCCGGAATTGCTGATAAATAGACTGACTTCAGGCACTCTGCAGAATTATCTTCAGTGCCACTAACTGTAGAGGATCATTTCATATCTGTCAATGCAAACTCTGATCCCGGAATGGAGCCGAGAACCCAGCTACCTGACTCTGCATTTAAATGCTTCATTTGTGTTCGATCATTTTCTGGATTGAAAATATAGTGTGTTCATTGGAAAGACTGATGAGATGTTTGCGTGTTTAAAAATAATCTCCTACTGTTTTTGCATTAAAGGCCTGATTCACATTAA